TATATATATATATATATATATATATATATATATATATATATAGACCAAGGTTTTTACAGAGAACATCTTGAAAAATATGAAGAACAAAATACAGATTTCCATTTATTAATGACACTTCTGCAGTCATCTTATTTGGAGGAACTAGAACCACAAACACTGTTGTCTGCCATTGTAAAATAATATTCCCTGACGCTCCTCCCCAATGCGTAAGATGCATCAAAAGTGGACCAATAACAAGCAAGCATTCAAGATGGACGTTTTCCAGAACAAATTGGAACATTTTTCATCGGTGCTGTCAAAATCATCATAGTCATTGATTAAATTCTGACACTATCCATTCACAAAAACATAAAATATCCTTCGGGGCCCCTGAAATGCCGGGGCCCCGGGCTGCAGCCCCTGTAAGCCCCTGCTAAAATCCAGCCCAGTGTATATATATATATATACACATGTATATATAAAGGTGTTTTAAACCCTTCCCACGCTCTTGCAATATTCTAAAACAATTTTTCTAAACTCTAAAGTCTCTAAAAGAACACAGAATGACATGATTTCAGCTCTTTGCCTCCACTGCTCTCAGCCACCTGCAAGCGCTCTTGGCCACGCCCACTTATCCACTCTGTATGCATGGAGATCAGCTGATCAGCTGCAGCCGGAAGCTTATCCTGCAGCTGTGGGCTGCACAAATGTGCAGCAGGTGCTAAATAATATAAAATAACTCATTTTAAATAAAAATTCCATGCCGATCGTGCGGCTCATCCATCAATCATCCAACTGTGTGTCATGTCCACTCTTATTTTGAAAAACTGCGAAAGAGCGAGTCTCTGATAAACAAACTGCGAAGTAGCGAGGGACTACTGTATTTACTAAGTACAACATTTGATAATTGTGAGTACTACAAGGAATTTTTGCACTCATTCAGCCTGACTTTCTTTTCTGTTTAAATATGTAAACATCTGTAGGAGGTAAAACAAGTTAGCTTTAGGTTTTATGTGAAAGTCTCGAGCTCATTTACGATTGGGCTCAATGGAGTAGCTGGAGGTGGGGTGTCTGTTGTTTTGGGGCCTCTGGAGGAACAAGGCTAACTTTGTTGGCTGTAAGACTTAAAGTTTGAAAGAAAGCAGATTGTTCTGTGGGATTTAAACTGCACAGATTGGACATTTATAGCTCTTAGGTTATTGATTATTTTACTAAAACTCCCTCAACACTGATGTGATTTTAAAGTCACAATGAGTCACATTTGACTCAGTGCTTTAAAATGTAGATTTTAATATCCACTGTGATTTTTAGTTGTGTTTTTAACTGGGGCTTAAAGGCAAGCTAGCAGCCACTTATAAATGATTTGAAGCGGTAACCTCTGCGTCCTGCTCAGAATGAGCAGTCTGTCCTCATCTTTACAGTGCTTTAGAACTTGAGTCCGAGCCAACACATCTCACAGCCCGTTGGAGTTGAGCGAGGGCACACAGTGAGGCGAGGAGAAGGTAAAATAATGAGAGGAACTTCGTTTTACAGCATTTTAAATGTTTATACATCTTAAATGATGTCATACCCCTAATCACGTGCAAATGTGAGGATCTTGCCAGGCCCAGCTGTGAAATGATGATAAGATGGAAGCACTGACAGATTAAACTGTGAAGGAAATGATAAAGCCAGTATCTCAGTGTGATAAAACAATAAAGAAAAAGAAAATGGCATTTGTGAGAAAGTTTGAAAAAGACGTAAATGTAACAAAGATTCTCAATTTACACATGCGACTCACAAAGTCTTGCTCTCGTGTCCCAAGAGCTTTAAACATGTTTAAACAATAAATTCACACAAGAGTCACAGAGTCGATGGAAGCAACTGGAACCTGTGTTGACCTCGTTCAGACAGTGACAGGAGACTTTGGGAGGGTTTGGTGACCTGTAAGACCAAGTTATGACTGAATGGAGACAAAAACAAACAAAACTGTAAGACATCATTAAGATTCATTAGGGAAAAAAATGAATGTGCACATCACATTCAGTAATGTCACAATTCATTTAATTTATGCAAAAGTAACATATAAATATTTCAGTGTGCTTTCAAGTGAAAATTAGCTGGTTTCCCCACAATCGTGCCGTAACTAATCACCGACATTGCTGCCCAGTGAGATACAGGCTTATAAATACTATTTTGACAGAAAAAGTAGTATTTCGCTAAGCTGCAACCATTGGAGACTAGTTGGCATCTCAAGGCTGATTCAAGATTGCAAGCATTCAGTTGCAGTCACTGGTATCTGAGTATTTGTCACCAACGAGCCATGCGCCGTGTTTTTATGCTGCCAATTTTTGAAAATGGGGCAGAGACAGGTTTGACACATCCACAACAACTCTGTAAGCATTTTGAGAAATAATGAGCTGCACAATTTCTTTTGAACTTGTTTAAATTCAGACATCGAGAGTAACGTTGCCAGACATTCAGGAGACCCCTTCTCTACTTGCTGTCTGCCGAGCAGTCGCAGCACTGAGATACTGGCCTTTAAATGAAGTTTTGATAGCGACAGAAGTATATTCAAGGGTAAATTATTTAATGAGTGTGCTGAAAAGCCGTTTGACTTTTGCTGAATGGCTTTGGGACTGAAACGAACAAAACAAATCCTGAGTTTTTCATATTACAAGTTTTTTTTTTTTAAGGTATGGTAAAGTTTCATGTTGCATCAAGTTTAGATGATGGAACATGACAGACATGCAGAATGACACGGTGAGGGGGGAGCCAGCCTCCGTGGGACAGTGAGGAGACTATCAGGTGTGTGTTTAGTGGGCAGCTGGCACAACGCCACTAACTTGATAGATTCATGCTCAGGGTGTTTAAAAAAAGAAAAGTCCAACTTAGCATATTTTTCGGAGTATAAGGCGCAACAATGAACGGGTCTGTTTTCATACATAAGGCGCACCAGATTATAAGGAGCATTAACAAAACAGTCAGATAAGTCAAACTTTATTCAACTCATCCACAATAATCACAAAAAATTGGTTCAAGGTCAATAAGTACAACCAGAATTAATACATAAGGCGCACTGGATTACAAGGCTTACTGTCGATTTTTGAGAAAATTAAAGGATTTTAAGTGCACCTTATATTTAGAAAAATACAGTAATTAAAGAATGGAAAAGGTAGAGGATATGTGGCAGTGCTCCCTGAAATGCAAATTATGTGTTGAGAAAATGCAAGCCGATGGCGCGCATCAGACTGTGGTGTTCAGAAGCTGGCATGAGTCATGAACCTTTAGGTCATAAGAAAGAAAAGAAAAGCTGCAATCTTTAGGCATTACTGCTAACATCAACCTTCTGGTCCGGTCATTTCCTTCTTACTGACAAGATCCACGTTTTGGATTTGCAAGTTGCGCCGGACACTACGGACATTTAACAAGTTTTATTATGTTAAAACTGCTGGTGGGAGTCAGGATCCACTCACTGGACTGGTCTAAAAGAGAGAACACCGTTAGCTAGCTGCAGGGCTATGAGAACGTGCAGCATAGCAGATGAACGAACCTTCTCAGATAGGCGAGGAGAGTTTGAGGAGTGCAGAGACAACTCCCAGAGCTTGGAGGAGCGGTGTCAGTGGTGGCAATGATGACATCATCGTAAGTGGTGGAGAAAGTACTCAAACACTGTATTTAAGTAAAAGTACAAATAAACAGACAAAAATGTACTCTAGTAAAAGTAGAAGTACCACATTCACATTTTTACTTAAGAAAAAGTAAATAAGTACTTGCTTTTAAAAATACTTAAAGTATTAAAAGTAAAAGTACTTGCTGTATGTATTACCTAATGTAATGGTCTACAATATCTTTAAGTCTGCATACCATATGTATATTTTCTGTAATACATTAATAGAGTTGAGTCATTTTAATGAACGATGCTGCAGATTATACATGTTTTTATTGTGTTTACTCTATGACACCGTTCACTCTTGGACTTGTGATTCTGTGCAGCAGAATTTCAGGGACGACATGCAGAGTTAAATGTCATTAAGCAAAATAAGACAGAGGAATGATTTTACCTTTGAATGTTTTTATTTAACACAAAACAAAATCAATGTGTGATTTTAACTGCAGTAAACACATTTAAGTAAAACTTGTCTGAAAAAAGGAGCATTAGACGTAACAAAGGAACAGGCTCTGATCATTTCAACTCCAGTTTGTCATCAACTCTAGTTAAAATACTGTCTAGTCAACCCTGTACTGGGTCAATAGTGAATGATACTTTAACTTCCTGACACCATTTTCAAAACTTGGACCTGATTGTCGAGTCATTTGGAGACACCTCATCATCTCCTAACATCATGAACTGACACATTTTAATATTGCAGCAAGAATTTCTTGTTCAAGTTCAGAAAAAGTTGGTTTTCAAAGTTTTTTGAGTCCAGTCTGGATCTTTTGGGAGAGAATCTATCCTGCTGTACTGAAGAGTCTTTTAATAATCTTTCAATAATCTTTCAATAGTCTTTCAATAATCTTTTAAT